CCCAGTGTCCATCACCCAGCCACCCTATTCATCCTCCCCACCCCCCAGCAACCATCAGTTTGCTTTGTGAGATTAAGAGTCTCTCATGGTTTGTCTCCCTCCCCATACCATCTTGTTTCATTTTTCCCTCCTTTCTCCCCACGAACGAAAATGCCTCTCCTTTCGCGTAAAGGACAGCAACTGACATCGAAGAGAGATCTGGATGCAGAAAGAAACTTGAAAATTCTGCTCTAGTCAATTTCAGGCTCTCATTAAATTCAGAGCTTCTTCTGCCACACAGGAAGATTGTCACTAGGTCAAACGAGGAATAAGAAATCTGTGCTCCTTGAGATCAACGATTTTGCTTCAAGTATATACTGTTCAAAGTACACTCTATCTGGAGCTTTGTGGACCATGACTGACAGGAAGGAATGCATTTTGGATCATAATCCAGTACACACGAGGCACACACTGAAAAGTTTCATGGAAGTTATCCTTAGCATATACAATGAATATGGTGTCCGCTTTATGTCTTTTTTTAATGCTGGCTACACACAACAACTTGATTTCATGACTGAGTAATGGGTTAGAACCTACTCTGAGCAACCATGCTATCGTACACGCACGCGGGCCGGCCTCTGCCTCCCTCCCTAACTGCATGCCACGTTATTCTCTGCCGTACTTCCCGCCCCTTGCCCCCGCACTGCTGCTGCCCCCACCCTGCCCCTCCACCGAATTTCTATTATTTTTTTTTTTACATTAGATCACAAGATCACTTCCTGAAATATGACAACCACTTTGCTGCCTCAGGGCCTTTGATCCTATTGTTAATGTTGCCTGATACACTTCCCCCCGGGTCACTGCACTTCTTTATTCAGGTCTCAATACAGAAGTCAGTTCTTCAAAGGGGCCTTCACTAACCACCCAATTTGAAAGAACCACCACACACAACTTCAGCCGGGGCAGAGGGTAGGGAGAGGACTTCACTGCTCTTAGGGTGGTTGGGAATTCTGAATGACAAGAATGTAAGACAAGCAGGAAGAAAACCAGTATTCCACAAACGTCAATTTCCATCTCCCTGTGCCACTGTTCAGGCCATTGAATTGTCACTATGGAAATTCTATTCCATTTGCTTAACGATGGCCTGACTCTGAAAAGTGAAGACTCCATCCTCCTATATCCCCCAAGCACTCTGTAACCTCTCAGGGCACTTACCACATTCTTTTTTTTTTTTTTTCCTTTTCTCTTTCAGCAAATACCTGACGGCCTACTATGGTGTAGGCAATAGCAGTGACCAAAATAAAGATCGGTCCCTCTACCAGTTCAGTTCAGTAAGAGTGACAAACTCATAAACAAATAATTCCAACTGAGTGTGGCAAGTGAGATGTGTACCATGTAAAATTGTGACCAAAAAAAAAAAGAAAAAAGTCAACTGTCTTTAAGTAGAGACATAAGGCATCACAGAAGAGACACCAAACCTGGGTATGGAAGGATCGGAAGGAATCAGGCTGGCCAAGAAGGAGATATGTGTTATCTCATGTGGAAGGAACAGCATGTGCAAAGGAGAGGGGACATTCATACCACCAGTTCGAAGTTGCTTAAAATGTTCGGCAAAAGACAAGCAGCTGAAAGGAATGTCTTGGCAACGGAGGGACGTGGAAGAAGCTAGACTGAGCAGTGCTGGATGATGGAGGGCCGTGTATGCCGTCCCAGGTACTTTGAATTTTACACTGTAGAGTATGGAAACTCTAGAATTTAAAAGAGGTGAGTGACTTCAAATATTTGGGTCTTTAAAATTTCCTTCTGGGGCGCCTGGGTGGCTCAGTCAGTTAAGCGTCTGCCTTTCTGCTCGGGTCATGATTCCAGAGTCCTGGGATGGAGCCCCACATCAAGCTCCCTGTGAAGAGGGGAAGAAGTCTGCTCGTCTCTCTCCCTTTGCCCCTCCCCCCTCACTTGTGCTCACTCTCTCTCAAATAAATAAGTAAAATATTTTCTAAAAATTCCTTCTTGTGGCAGAGAAAATAATGGATTGAAGAACTGCCATACCATACTGTTAAAAGTCCAGGCAAGAAATACTGCAACTCAGCAAAGGAGAGAGTCAACAAAACCAAAAGACAAGTGACAGAATGGGAGAAAATATTTGTAAATGACATATCAGATAAAGGGCTAGTATCCAAAATCTATAAAGAACTTATCAAACTCAACACTCAAAGAACAAATAATCCAATCAAGAAATGGGCAGAGAACATGAACAGACATTTCTGCAAAGAAGACATCCAAACGGCCAACAGACACATGAAAAAGTGCTCCACATCACTCAGCATCAGGGAAATACAAATCAAAACCACAGTGAGATCCCACCTCACACCAGTCAGAATGGCTAAAATTAACAAGTCAGGAAACAACAGATGTTGGTGAGGATGTGGAGAAAGGGGAACCCTCCTACATGGTCAGTGGGAATGCAAGCTGGTGCAGCCACTCTGGAAACCAGTATGGAGGTTCCTCAAAAAGTTGAAAATAGAGCTACCCTATGACCCAGCAATCGCACTACTGGGTATTTACCCTAAAGGTACAAATGTAGTGATCCGAAGGGGCATGTACACCCCAATGTTCATAGCAGCAATGCCCACAATAGCCAAACTATGGATCGAACATAGATGTCCATCAACAGATAAATGGATAAAGAAGATGTAGTATATATATACAATGGAATACTATGCAGCCATCAAAAGAAATGAAATCTTGCCATTTGCAAGGACATGGATAGAACTAGAGGGTTTTATGCTGAGCAAAATAAATCAGAGAAAGGTAATTATCATATGATCTCCCTGGTATGAGGAATTTGAGAGGCAAAGTGGGGGGGTTTGGAGGGTAGGGAAGGAAAAAATGAAACAAGATGGGATCGGGAGGGAGACAAATCATAAGAGACTCTTAATCTCACAAAACAAACTGAAGGCTGCTGGGGGGAGGGGGGAGGGAGAGGGTGGCTGGGTGATGGACATTGGGGAGAGTATGTGCTATGGTGAGTGCTGTGAAGTGTGTAAGCCTGACAATTCATACACCTGTGCCCCTGGGGCTAATAATACATTATATGTTAATAAAAATTTTTTTTAAAAAAAGAAATACTGCAACTGTCTGGGCAAAAAACAAAGCTTAAACCAAAACAGGACTTAATGACCCTTTGAATATGGGAGGCACAGAAAAGGAAGAGAGAACAACTCTGGTTTCTGGTTTAGATTATCTATATTTAATACACAATATTAAAGTTATATAATACTAAAGCCATACTATAGGTTATACTATAGTGATATCATTAATTAACTTGATGGAATTAGAGAAACCAGGTGGAATGATGGCAAGTTCAGTTTTGGTCATGGCACATTTGGAGAGGTATTTGGGTGAGGAGGGAGAGGTGTCCCAGAAGCAACTAGGTTAGCCCTAGCAGATGTGAGATGAAAATCGAAATTTAGACTCGAATGCTTCCGCACTAGTAAAACTCATGTGTGTGGATGAAATCACCCCAGGCAAAGGCACTGATTACTGAAAATATTAAAGACTGAGCCCCAGAGAAAGGCATTTGAAAAGCAGGAAAGGCCGGGGCAGGGGGGAGGTAATGAATGCTCATGAACTTCGGCTGTCCCAGAAAAGGTAGATAAACTTTGAGAAGAAATTACTGGATGGGAATTGAAAAAGCCATTAGAAACTTAGACAAGAGCAACTTCACCGAAGCCATTCAAGAGAAAGTCGGATAACAGAACCGAGGATGGGAAAGGGGCCGTGGAAGCCGGTGAAAATACGTGCTTTGAGGCAGTTCAGATAGATGGAGGACTGGGCAACCTCTGCATGAACACAGCATGAGGGGCGTGCTTTGTTTTATTTCATTTTCTCAAGATGCAGGACCAGAACACTGGGAAGCAGGAAGAGGAGAGAAAGGCTGAAAGCACCGGAAAGAAAGAAGATAAGCGGAAGCAAACAGTCCTGCAATGGGTAGGAGGCCGTGAGGTCTAGAGGCAAGCTGGATTAGCCTTCACCACCGGTCTGTTGTTGTATATACGGGTGCGTAGCCTGGGGGCCTGCGGTGGAAGAAGACCGACATCTGCTTAGTCGGGAGGACGAAGGAGGGGAAGGGGCAGAGGTTGGAAAGTGTGAAAAGCGCCCTACAGGAACCGCGCAGGGGCAACGGGGTTAAGGAAAGGATTGCCGTGGAGCAAGGGAGAATGAAGGGCGGGGAGGGGCTCCGTTGCTCTGACCTCCGACCAGAGTCATCTTTCCATCCCCCCGTCCGCTACTGGTAAGCGGCTGAAAGATTGGCCAGTTCAGTGAGTTAACTAGAACCCGGTGCTCTCAAACAAGCGCGTGAATTCAAATCACCTACAGGCTTGTTTAAAATGCAAATGCCAAGCCCCATTCCTACGGATTCCGAATTTCTGGGGGTGTGGCTGAAGCCAGGGAATGTTCCAGAAGCTCTCCCAAAAGCTCGTCAGGGCGCTCCTGTTCAAAAGCACCTGCCGATAAGGTAATCAGCTCTAGACGAGAACTGATGCCAGTGCAGCTCCTACCTCAGGGCCCTGGGGCGGGGTGTGGAGCAGGGCACCCGCCGCACGAGGGCACCCGCCCCGCGAGGGCACCCGCCGCACGACCCAGGGAGATTCGGGCCGGTGTCGGCACAGCGCACGCACCGCACATCGTCTCGGATTCGGCGCGGCGAGGGGCGCTGAGAACTTGAAAAATGCGACGATGAAACACAAACACTTAAAATGCTCGCCTCGGGGTGTCAGAGCCAGGGGTCGCGCCACACCTCCCGCTCCTTGGCTCCAGGGTCCCCGCAGGACCGAAGTGACATTCAGGGCGCTGCACGGCACCGGGAGGGAAGGAAACTGCGGAACCAGCCCCTGCAAGGGAGAAGCTAGAGCGGACGTGGAAGAAACCGGGGTGCCTCCGAGCGTCCCTCCGCCCCAGAACCTGGGACGCGGAGCCACTAGGGCGCCGAAGCCGTCCTTCCGGCCCCGCCTGGAACTCACCATCGTCTCGGGCACGCAGCGCAGGCCAGCAGGGACCTCGGCCGCGGGCGGACGCCGCCTTCCCGAGGACGCCCAGTTACTCTGGCAACAGAGCCCCGCCCACTACCGGACGTGCGGCGCCGCCACCGCCCCGCCCCTTCGTTCCTAATGGCTGGGATGACTTGGAGCTCCGCCCACCGGGCCGGCCCCGCCCCTCCACGGCGTCACCCGGGGCGGCAGAACACTGCGCAGGTCTTTCTGGCGTCATCACTTAGGGTTGCTTGACAAGTGACCCGGAAGTTAAGCGCCCAGGCCGCCGGAGCTCCAGTCTCTATTTTCCGTCGGCGTCTGCCCATCTGCCACTCAGCGACGCCTCCCACCGTGCGTGCGGGGTTGCCCGAGTTTTGAGACCCCACAGAACGTATTTACCCTTCTCTTTCGGAAAACTATTCCGGAAACGAACCCCGGGGAACAGGATGTGGTTAGCCAAGAGCGCCGGAAGTCCGGAGGGCCGGGGCGGGGCGGCTTGGGCTGACCGAGAGTGGGCTAGGCCAGACCGGCGCGGAGCTCGCGACCCTCAGCTCGGAAGAGTAAGGAACGGGGCGAGGGGTCCGCGAGGCCGCCGGTGTGACGGCGGAGGGTGTGGGGAAGGCGCGCGGCCCGGCTTGCAGTTTGGTGCTCGGAGGCTGTGGATTTAGGGCAGGGGTGTCTGTGGAGACCCGGCCGGAGCTTCGGCTTCAGCAGAGCTGACAGGCCGGGCCGCGCCGTCGGGCGCTCCTCTCCCTCCGTCCCCTCTGCTCCGCTCCGCACCCTCCGCTCCCCTCCCTTCCCCTCTCCTCCCCGGGCCTGGGGCCTGAGGGCAGACCCCGCTGTGCGGGTGCGGGGCGGGTACGGGGCGGTGCGCCCGGGGCGCCGTGCCAGGGCTCCCTGCTTTTGCCCAGGCGCCCGCGGAGGCCTGTCCCCGGACGAGGAGGCGGGTAGTCCGCGAAGACCCTGTGCCGAGTCAGATCGGTTACTCTTACGGCGAAACCACTTGCGGCCGAACGCACAGCTCGGCGCGTTGGGGTCCCTGCCCCGGCGCGACCTCCCTTCTCACGGCCCCCGGGGACGCCTCGTCTGCGCTGGGAGACCGCGCACACTTTTCTGAAAACTTGTATTTCTTGGGAATCCTGAGTGTTTGTATCCGTGTGTCTAAACGCAAACGGGAGCTCCTCTCTGATTCGGTGACCAAATCAGTGGCGGACACTAGCGTCGCTCCTGTCCCCGGAGAAAGTGATCACTTTAGTTCCTGTTGCTTATCAGGGACACGAAGCCCTGCAGGGACGTCCCTGCAGTTTCTCCGCCGAAATTCGGGACCCCTGTCTGCTCGCGTTCCCGGTGAGGCAGCGAAACGAACCGGAAAGCGAGCCGCCCCTAGTGTTTTGAGGCCTTTGTCAGCCTTCGCGGTGTCACCTGTGACATTGCATGTGAAACGCTGTGCACTAAGTGCGGAAACCAGCAGAACACTGTAACCTCTAACTTACAGGCACTTAGTGGATGTCTTTATATGGTATTAATTCTTTCATTGTATTCATTTTTAGGCTTTTTGTAGAAGTTTTGAGGTGCATTTTCACTGATTAAAAAATGACTACTCTTGAAAGTTTAGAAGCCAAAGGTAAGTGTTGTTTTTTTGATGATAATTGTACTTAAAACATGCAGTTTAGGACCATAGGATGAAGGCGATGTGAGCCAACTAACTCTCCTAGAGCTCCTGGGAACCATCTGTTTCAGGTTTCCTCTGCTGTTTTGTAATGCGGTGTTTACATCACCGTCCTCCTAGACGACCTGAATAGTAACCCCGGGGTTAGTGCTCATTACTCCTGTTAAACACTGTTAACATTTAGTGTAAAACCAAAGTCTTGCAGCTATATTTTCTATCCATTAGAAGATTAAGATTTCAGTAAACGATATTTTTAAAGATTTAAGTATGGACAAGTGAGGAGGTACAAAAGACTTCTTTATGGTGTTGGGTGGTTTTGCTTGGCCCGCAGTAACAAACCACCGCAAACTAACTTAAACAAGTGAAACTTACTGCCTCACAGTTCTGGAGACTACAAGTCTGATATCAAGATGCTGGCAGGGCCGTGTTCCCTCTGAAAGCACTAGGGAAGGATCTATTCCAGGCCCCTCTCCTAGTTTCTGGGGGTTTGCTGGCATTTTTGGTATTCCTTTTTTTTTTTTTTAAGATTTTATTTATTTGAGTGAGCATGTGAGCATGGGGGGTGGGGTGGTGAGCAGAGGAAAATGAGCAGAGAGAGAGGGAGAAGCAGAATCCCCGCTCAGCACGGAGCCCAGTGCCCAGTCCCTGGGATCATGACCTGAGCGGAACACAGACGTTAACCAGCTGAGCCATGCAGGCTCCCCAGTTTTTGGTATTCCTTAGCTTGTACATGCATCGCCCTGATCTCTGCCTTTATGTTTACATGGCCTTCTCCCTGTGTTTGTGTCTCTGTACACATTCTTCCTTTTTTATAAGGACATCAGTCGTACTGGATTAGGGCCCACCCTACTCCAGTATGAGCTCATGTTAACTAATCCTTCTCTAGTGACCCTATTTCCAATTAAAGCCGCATTCTGAGGTATGGAGGTTGAGGACTTTAACATGAGTATTTGCACCGGGGGGACACAATTCAACTCCTGATACTTGCTAACTAGTCTTACTTTCTCGTTCTCTACATTTCATATGTTGATCATTCCCATCTTTTGAAATACTTTTCCTTAATTTCCATGATACCACTCTTGTTTTCAGCCCTTCACTGTCCAGTGTAGTAGCCACATGTGGCTATTTGAGTTTAAATGAGTATTTTTAAAAATTAAAAATTCAGTTCCTCAAAGTCACCCCAAGCATGTCTCAAGTGCTCATTAGCCACATGTGGCTGGTAGCTATTGCATTAGGAAGTGCAGATATAAAACATTCCCATCACTGTAGAAAGTTCTACTGGACACCACTGCTCTAGCAACATCTTCTGTTTCTTTTTCATCCTCCTCCTGGTTCATCTTTTAAATATTAATATGTTTCAGCCCTCTTTCTCTTCTGCTCTCGGGGCTTCAGTAATTATCTGTAATAACAACTTCCAAATCTGTCTGTAACCCAGATCTCTTCCCTTGTGATTCAGACTCTTACAGCTTACTGACCATGTTCACATAGGCGCTGGTAACGGTATTATTAGCATGTCCCACAGTGAGGGCTCCTGACTTGGGTGGAGTGAGTTCTGGAGGTTGGGGCTGTCAGTGAAATGGGAAACTACTTTCCAGAAGCCAGCTTTGCAGCAAATACACCTCCAACAGCAAACTCTTTAAAAGGGATTTAAATCAGGACAGCCGAGTTGCTCAGTACATTAAGCATCTGCCTTCAGCTAGGGTCACGATCCCAGGGTCCTGGGATGGAGCCCAAACCCTGCATCAGCTCCCTGCTCAGTGGGGAGTCTGTTTCTCCCTCTGCCCTTCTTCTCGTGTTTGAGTTCCCTCTCTCTTTCTCAAATAAATAAATAAAATCTTGCTAAAAGGAGGGGTATATTTAAATCTGTTTAGGAAGCAAAGAAGAAAAGATCCTGCCAATAAATGTTTAATTGAATTTATTCAGCTGTGTGAATAGCATTTCAGAGTCACCAGAAAGCTTTTATAGTATTCAAATAAGCAAACCAAAGAGCGTAATGAAAGTAATAAACTGGGGGTTAATGAAAAGTAAAGCAATTAAATGGTTACTAAGGTGAAAGTCACCAGCATGGTGCTTGGCAAAAAACAAAACCTAAATACAATATTATCATTAGTGATTGAAAGTTAGTTATTGCAAGGCCTCTGTGAAAGTAATTGTCTTTTATTTGTTATTACCTGTTTGTAATGAGGATTAGAGTTATAAAGCACTTTCACATACATTATTTCATTTGATCTTAATTTTGCAGTGAGGTACGTAATTCAGCTGTTAGTCCTCTTTTTGTTTAACATTAGCCATTGTTAGTGAACGATAGCTCCATGGACTGCATGGCCTAACACCAGGTGTACTTACCATGGTTGACATCTGTCATTTGCCTGCGCTTCCTATAACTGCCTCACAAGAAAAGCAACATTGGTTTATAGCAACAGAACTTCTTCTCAGTGGACATTTGAGCAAAACTGTCACCATGGGAGGGGTGCGCAGTTGCTGCTAGGACTTCATTGAATGGGAAACATGTAATAAAGAGAAAAATTCAAAAATGAGGGTTTGAATCCTGAAAGTTCTTGAGAGCAAGATTAAAATTACAGGTATTATAAGTCAGACCGTTTAGTGAAAGTAAACTAACTAGGGAAAGCTGAGACATTTAAATATTTAGAATCACATAAAATAGCCTAACTTTAACACTCTTTCTGTGGAATAACAGGTATTAGGTGAAGAAGGAATCCCTGGGTAGATAAATATGGGAAATTCTGGACTAAAGGAGGGAGTACATCATGGGACTCCCAGAGCCTCTAGCACACTAATGCACACTGTGAAGCGGCAGAGCAAGGGAGTGCTCAGCCCCGTCCCCACTCGCTTCACCAGGGAACTCTTTACTTGTGGAGCCTCTGACAGAAGGAATGTTTAGATTCCGTGTCAGTGAACGTGGGCCTAACTTTTAAGTCCATTGTCTTTAACATGATTTCTAATTTAATAGTAACTAAACCTTACTAAGTAGTAACTAAATCTTACTAAATGCTGACCTTTAAAAGAATACTGTTTTCACCAACGGGTGGCTCGGTCGGTTAAGCGTCTGCCTTAAGCTCAGGTCATGATCCCAGGGTCCTGGGATTGATCCCCTTATTGGCCTCCTTGCTCAGTGGGGAGCGTGCTTCTCCCTCTCCCCTCTGCCCCATGTTCTATCTCAACTAAGTAAATAAAATCTTTATACACACACACACACACATATATATATATAGATTGATTGATTGATTGATTGAAAATTACTGAGTGACAGTCCCTAAACTGTTTCACTGTTTGCTAGCTGAATCTGTGTATATTCTGAAAAGTTTGTCAGACTATAACTGAGTTAGGAATTAATGCTCTGGTGTAGAGGGAAAACAAGGTGAGCAGTTTTTAAATGAGTTAGTAGATGTTAAAATGAAATCTCACTAGCATATGAACATTGATAAACTTCAGAAAGCACTTAGTCTTCTGTTCTAAGCACCATTTCATTAAGCAAATAATATAGAGATTGGGAGGCAGACCCTGTCTGGTGGAGCTCCCAACAGTCCAGTCTGTGAGAAAAACAGGTTATATTAAAACACTCTGATACTTGCATTGTTCTGAAAGCACTGAGGGATGAGAGGAGAGTAAGGGTAAGTGATCTGCCCAAAGTCACACAATGTGTGGCAAATAGGACCTAAGGTATTTTGACCCAGTCTAGTGTTCTTTCTACTGCACCTTCCAATGGACTTGGAGTATCTGTCTTCTGAGATTTGCAGTTTTATTTAAAAAAAAAAAAAAAAAGGGACGCCTGGTTGGCTCAGTGGGTTAAGCCGCTGCCTTCGGCTCAGGTCATGATCCCAGCGTCCTGGGATCGAGTCCCACATCGGGCTCCTTGCTCAGCAGGGAGCCTGCTTCTCCCTCTGCCTCTGCCTGCCACTTTATCTGCTTGTGCTCACTCTTGCTCTCTCTCTCTCTCTCTCTCTCTGACAAATAAATAAATAAATAAAATCTTTTAAAAAAAAAAAAGGAGAAATATTTCTTTAATGACAGACTATAAAATCCTATTCTTTTTTTTTTTTTTTTAAGACTTTATTTGACAGACAGAGATCACAAGTAGACAGAGAAGCAGGCAGAGAGAGAGGATGAAGCAGGTTCCCCGCGGAGCAGAGAGCCCGATGCGACGCTCAGTCTCAGGACCCTGGGACCATGACCTGAGCTGAAAGCAGAGGCTTTAACCCACTGAGCCACCCAGGCGCTCCAAAATCCTATTCTTTTTGCCTCAGTATTCTAGAGCAAGGGTTGGCTAGTCATGGCCCTCAGCCTCCTGAGAATACTTAGAGATCAGTTTGGTGATGGGAAGCATTGAATCCCACTTAAGCAAAGGGTTTATCCCAAACAAAAAAGAATTCTGTGCTTCTCATTATTAGACCTATATTACAAAAAAACAACAAAAAAGATTTACTCAATTTCTTATTTGAGTTTCGCCTTTGAAAATGATTTTTTTTCTTCTTTGTGTAAGTACCTGTCTCTTACCCTCAATTTTGCCTCATGGTCGGCAGAGCCTAAAATATTTATCTGACCCTTTATGGGGAAACTTTCCCCACTCCTGTTACAGAGTATCATTTGTTCTTTCCCTGCATTTCAGTAATCTTTGGGGAAGGCAGAAGAATGAGCCATAAACCTGAGACACATTTCGTTCTTTGATAACTGATCACAAGTAGAAGTGCTGTTGATGTAATCGCAGAATTGTTCTATTGGTTCCCTTCAAAGAGTGGGGAATGGGGGCTGATGTTTTGCTCTACTCACACCACTCTTAATTGTGGAGCTGGTACCACGGATCATCGCTTTCCCCGGAGAGACCAACTGCTCCCAAGTGTGTCCCGGGCTGTGCTTAGTCTGTATGTAATAAAGGTTTCTGCGTGTGTCATAAGGGAAACAGAACGATGACCAGTTAGTGACCCGGTGAGAAGATGGAAAGCCGGGACTCCCACTCCCCGCCTGGCCTGCGCGCGTTAGCCAGAAGCGCAGTGACTCCCGAGTTGAGTTGCGACAGCTGCCATGGCATGTGTTGTGCAGCTGTCGCGCCCGTAAGTGCTTGAGTAAGTAACGGTGGTTGATGTAGAAAGTCAGGAGTAAACCGAGGCTGAACCAAGTTGATGGAATCGCTTCACTGGCATTTTATGATGTATTTTCTTTGGGAAGAGGTTTCTTTCCAATACCTGTCAATGTTCCTTTGCCTTTTAACCCACTGAGCCACCCAGGCATCCCGTTCCTTTGCCTTTTAAATTTCGCAGTGTCTACTTGATTTGTTCTTGAATCTCCACTACCTAAAATTCCGACTCAGCAGTGTTGTGATTTGCCTAAAATTCCTGTTTAGTCACCGCCGGGCATCACGCCTGCTTCTTACTTCTTCGGCTTCAGTGGACCTGAGTGGTCTGGCTCCAGTTTGTCCTTTTGTTGTTTTTTTAATTAATCTGTAGTTAATTCATGATTCAGCATCACTTTGTAAATGACAGAATGTCTTAGTGACAGAATTAAATTTGCTTTAGATAGAGTTAGAATTTTTTAAAAAGCAGATTTCAAGAACATGGGAGCAGGCCTATGTTAGGGTCCGTGATCAAAGAATGAGATTGATTAAAGCAAAAATCAAACAAAGCTTTATTTCACGCCAAGCATCAAAAGTCAAACTGACCGGTCAGGGCTGTCTCTTACGAAAAGGTGACGACGATGACCCTGGCAAGTCCGCTCCCAACGTGGCTGCTCTGGATAAGGCCTTTCTGTGGATGAGGCCGCTCTGGACAAGGCCACTCCCAGGACGAGGCCGCAGCTGATGAGGTCGCTCCTCAGGGCTGCTCCCCAGAAAGGCTGCTCCCCGGACAAGGGCTGCTCCGGCGAGGCAGCTCCTTGGACAAGGCTGCTCACAAAAAGAGGCCACTCTGGAGGAAGCCTCTTTCCTGACGATGCTGCCTCCCACAGGGCTGCTCACCGAGGAAGCCTCTTTCCAGATGAAGCCGCTCCCCGGAATGGCGCAGGTCCAGCGAGGCTGCGGCTCAGGGTATCGAGGCCGCTCCTGGCAGCGAGGCCGTTCGCAGCGAGGTTGCTGTTGTCTAGGCCGTTCCCCGCTGTGTGTCAGCGGGGCCGCTGGCGTCTCAGCTGCTGCGAGAGTGCTGGGGCCGCCGGCGTGCTGGGACCGCTGGCGTCGGGACCACTGGTGTCTGGAGCGCGGGCGTCTCAGCTGCTGCGGGAGTGCTGGGGGCTCCGCTGCCGGAGCCGCGGTGTGGGCGGGGCTGCAGGCGTCGGAGCTCAGGGCCGCTGGCAGCTCGTCTAGCTCTGACAAGAACTGTCACACTCTCACAGCTCTCACAAGAGCTGTCACAGCTCTCTTTCTTCTGCTCCCACCAACTCTCCTTCTGCTGCTCCCGCCGCTCCCCTCTCTGCTGCTCCTGCCGACTCTTCTGCTGCCGCTGGGTAAAGAAAGGCTTCCCTTAGGAACCCATACTCCAGTGTGCCAAGTGCTCGATCTTCCTGCATCTTCTCCTGCCACAGTCGTGGAGCACAGCTGGTACTATCCCCACTTCCCAGAATGTGAAGTAGAGATCCGCGGAGGTTCGGTTGTTTACCCAGGATCATACTAGGAAGTAGAAGTCAAGAGCAAAACCATTTACCTAAGGAAGTTCAAGCCTTTTTCCATCTTTTATTGACACCTGTTTTGTTTTAACTTTTACTATGAATTTTTTGTATTCTTTTTAGTTCCAGTAATTCTGAATGTAGGGTAAAGTATGTCTTGGCATTTTCCTTGGCATTTCTTCTTAGCAAGTAGCTTGTGTTTTCTTTCCCTTTCATAGTCACCCTTACTCCAGCCCCAGTCCGAGGAGCAGGAGATGGCATGGAAACTGAGGAGCCGTCTAAGTCTGTTGAAGTGACCTCTGGAGTCCCGCCCGTAAGGCATCACATCCTTCAGAATCCACGGAAGAAAGCAGTTCCAGGCGAGAGCCCAGGAGTCCTTCAGCTCGGGAAGATTCTCACTGAAAAAGCAGTGGAAGTTGAAGCCATAAGAATATTAGTTCCCAAAGCTGCTATAACCCATGACATCCCCAGCAAGAATGCAAAGGTGAAGTCTCGGGGACATCATAGGGGAGAGCTCCTTGGTCAGTCAGAGGGAACTGTAGAACCCAGAAAGGAACTATCGGAGGTTAAGAATCTACTGGAGAAGTTCAAGAACTCTGAAAGGAGGTTACTGCAGGACAAAGAGGGTCTTTCAAACCAGCTCAGAGTACAGACAGAGGTAAGAACAAGTAGCTTTAGTCATCACTGCTCTTTACACCTGGACCTTCTGAGCACACATGTCAGAAAACTGTATTTCCTCTTGGAATAACCTCTGTTTTGGCTTGTCATTTCTCTAAAAAGTTTCCTCTTAAATTTCTCTTTTTCCCTCAGCCCCGCTAGTAGAACTAGTATATGTCGGGAACTTGTCCTCTAAAATTGAAGATGGGTGTGCGTGGTGCTTCGGACAAGACCACCTCTAAGGTGTAAAGGAAGTCATAGTTATACAATTCCAGGCCAAGTTAGACTTTGAAGTTGTCTAGTTAACAATTCCTCTTTTAAGGATCCATAAGTTCCAAGTATTTTTGCTTATGCAGACATCATAGTTGGGATAAAGGGAACGGTTGGGAAAGCATTGGTATCTTCATTGTAAATGGAAAAGGATCTGTAGTGCTTGGCTGGGTTTCTTTCAGCTCTACATGTTGGTGAACATTGCCTCACTCCTCACCCTTCGTTTCTTTGTCAGACCCTTCATCTTTTTGCTAGATGTTATCTTTATAAGTGACACTATAGTTAGTGGTTCTCATCCAAATAGGTCTTTAATATTTCTTAAGTAACTAACTTCTAAATATAAAAATGGTGTATATTTATTTGTGATTGTTTTAGAAAATACAAAAAATGAGAATAGTACCACCTATCATTGTACCGTCTAGCTATAAATGCATAATTATACACATTGAGTTCATTTTTGCCCTTTTTAATATTTTCCTGTGTCACAGAATATTCTATTACAGTACCACCTTTAATACCAACAGTGTTCTTCTGTTGCTGCACCATATATCAATACCTATTATTGGACATTTACGTTTTAATTTTCACATTTTAGATAAAGTAAAAAAACATGCTTATAGATAGCCTAAATTGCTTCCTTTGCTTAAATTCTTGAACACCTGTGGCACAGGGGTGTGTGGGTGGCTCAGTCGGTTAAGCATTGGACTCTTGATTTCAGCTCAGGTCATGGTCTCAGGGCTGTGACATTGAGCCCCACATCAGGCTCCACCATCGCTGTGGAGGCTGCTTCAGATTCTCACTTTCCTTCTCCCTCTGCCCCTCCCTGCTCATACTCTCCTTCTCTCTCTCTCTCTTAAAAAAAGAAAAAAAAAAAAAAATCCTGTGGCCCAAAGAAATTAATTTTTAAACACCGAAATAGATTTAAAAACACTAAAACATTCTCCGTCATATTCTTTGGCAAAATTTATTGGTTTGGTTTTCTAATTTTTTGCCTTCAGGTGTTGACTGGAAGCAGGTTGTAACTTTGGTGATAATGGTTGGTACTCTTACTAGAAGAGGCTCCGTTTGTAATCCCATGGACTATAAGATATAAATATGCAGACAGACAGATAGATGGCTTATATAGATTATGAAACTTAAATAGGTAATATTGCTTTTTGATACACACTTTAAGTAATGGAGGTCCATCTACACGAAGCACGGTTTCTTTTTTTTTCATTTTGCTACATTAAAGTCACGGACATTACTTTAAGCTGGTTGTAACGGTCATATTTTCTCCTAGGTCAATCGAGAGTTAAAGAAGTTGCTAGTGGCTTCCGTTGGAGACGATCTTCAGTACCATTTTGAACGTCTAGCCCGTGAGAAAAACCAGCTTATTTTAGAAAATGAAGCCCTAGGTCAAAACACAGCTCAACTTTCTGAACAGCTGGAACGTATGTCAATACAGTGTGACGTATGGCGGAGTAAATTCCTTGCAAGCAGGTATTTTCTGTTTTAAATAATATTTCATTTCCTAGGGGCGCCTGGGTGGCTCAGTGGGTTGAAGCCTCTGCCTTCGGCTCAGGTCATGATCCCAGCGTCCTGGGATGGAGCCCCGCATCGTGCTCTCTGCTCCGCAGGGAGCCTGCTTCCTCTTCTCTCTCTGCCTGCCTCTCTGCCTACTTGTGATCTATGTCTGTCAAATAAATAAATAAAATCTTTAAAAAAAAAAAAAATTTCATTTCCTAGCTTTTTCTCTATCAGATTTTTTACCATAACCCAAATAAGTAAATGGTAGTGTGAGAATTTGGGACTCCGATTGTCAAAGTATTTCATGTATTTATAAGTGTGTATGGGCTGTCACAGAGTCTCCCTAAATGAAAAAGTGATATCATCAGATTCTCCCTCATTCCAGAATTCCAGGTTACTCCTCTATAGTAGAAATCACTACTACTACAATGTTTAAGAAAATTAAACTCAGACCTCTTATAAATAAAATAAATAAAAACCTCCCACAAAAAACGATTTCCCCCGCTTCTATCTGGAAAACTCAAACATTGTTTCTCTTCCATGCTCTGTTCTCATAGCTCTTTTAACTGTATTAACTATACATGAGAGCTTCCCAACCTTTTTCTGTACATGCACAAATGGGAAATAAAATTATTTGTATGGTGTAATAGATGCGGCTACTCTCCCCAACAGAGTTGTGAAAGCCCCATTGCCCTTCCCTAGGCCCGTGGGTACACTGGTCGTTGGGAAACTGTATATATTGTGATTTGGGGTCTGTTTATCCCCTTCCTTCCAGCTCTGACTGGAGAACAGAGTCTGGGTATTATCCATCTTTGTATTTCCAGCGCTTAGCCACATGCTTCGCGCATAGTTTAGTAACTGTGGATTTAAGTTCTAGAGATTTCTTACATAACACCAAATGTTTCCAGGCTGAACTTTAAGAATCATGATTGTGATGAATAAATTTATAGGAAAGTATTTCTTCATATCTTAATGTCTGTGATACTTTCCAGTAATTCATTGCTCTCTTATAAAGTCTTTGTTTTCTAATTATGCTTATATAGGATGGATGTGGAGAAAGGAATGTACTGTTTATTGACTTAGAATGAAAGTTCGTGCTCATTGAACACATTAATAGGCAAATCGTGCATGTGTCATACACATTATTGCAAATGTAACTTTCTTAACATCCTTGTCAGTGCTGATAGTAACATTCTAAGGGCAATAAAACTTAAACTCACCTTTAACAATATTTTAACCAATTTAATCTTTGGTCAGTAATCACTGTGGTCTGAGACTTCAATTTTATTTTTAAGATTTTCAGCTGAATAAGCATACTTTAAAACTTTGCATCAGTTCTGTTAATAGAGAACTGGTAAAATAAATTTTGGAACATCCAATCAGAAGAAAACATGAAGCTCTTGTTTTTTGAAAAAAGAGATAACTCTATATGTGCTAATATAAAAAAACACGATTATTAGATGAAAAAACAAGGCATAGAAAATTTTGTATTAAATAATCCCATTTTTGTAAATAAAATGGGTATACTTATTTTTAACATACACATTTATGTTGATGTATCCATAAATTTTTTTTCTGGAGAAATTCATAAGAAACTTTATTGGTATTTTGTGACTGATAAAAGAAGGATGGGGATGTGGGACAGGAGGAAAGACTTACTTTCCCTTTTACATAAGACTTTATTATTTAATATTTTTCTAAGGACAAGAAGGTAACTGAGTGATAAGAAAGCAACTCTTTTTTGCTTCCTCTAAAATTTCCTGTATTTAAAAACATTTAATTAATATTAATTTTTTCAATATTTGATCCATCTAGAGTAAGATTGAGGTACATTCTAGAAGTCACTCTATAGGAAAGTTAAATAACTTTACCTTTGTCATTTTGTAAACAAATATTTTTAAAATCCCTTCAATATGTTCTAAGTTCATAAATATTTTAAATACCTTTTAGTGAAGATTTAAAAACAGAGAAGTAACTTGACTGTGTTCAGTCTTCTATGTAAGCTTTTGAAAATTAAGGTAATATAGTAACTTCTTTACAGTGTATTATCGTCAAAGAATTTATATGTGATATTTCCATCTTTTCCAGGGTGATGGCAGATGAGTTAACCAATTCCAGAGCAGGTTTGCAGCGTCAAAATCGCGATGCCCAGAGTGCTATTCAAGATCTCCTGAGCGAGCGGGAGCAGTTTCGTCAGGAAATGATAGCTACTCAGAAGTATAGCATTTGTTTACATTCCGAACTCTTCTTTCTCTTGCAACTTTCGTTATTATTATAGTTCTTCAGTGTTTCTACATTTAATAACTTTTATTGAGCATATTTTTCAAATAGCATTTTAAAATAGATGCCCAGGGAGGGAAGAAGACTAAAAAAATAAGGCTACATGCTTCTTACATTCTTAATTGAGAGAGAATTAATTATAGCTATAATAGGAAAAATCTCTGGGTTTAAAAGTAGTTTTTGGTTATTGTTATAGCAGTTTTGTATAATTTTTGGTAGAAGCCATAAAGTACACCTATCTTTCCTTTGGAAGGAGATCTTTTTAAGGACTATTCTGCAGTATTAGAGTTTACTTTTATGTGCTCTGGAACTATCAAATTTGATGGTCTTCCTTAAAAGTACTTTGTACTTCTGTACATAGATCTTCCGCAACTTACAATGGGGTTGCGACCCAATAAACTCATTGTAAGTTGAAAATGTCGTAAGTCAAAAATTAATTCAATACACCTAACCCACTGAACATCATGGCTTAACCTAGCCTACCTTCAGCATGCTCCGTATGATAGCCCGAACTTGGGCAAAACCATCTAATACACAGCCCAGTCTGTCAGTGTTGCGCATCTCTGTAATTGACCGAGTGCTGAAAGTGTGCAACAGAACGGCTCTGTGGGTACAAAACTCTTGTACCGGTTGTTTGCCCTCGTTACCATGTAGCTCAGTAGGCACTATGGCTCACTTCCACTCCCCAGCAACAGGAGAAAAATGGGTGTTCATGTTGCTAGACAAGAAATAGGTGAAAATTCAAAGTACAATTTTTATTAAATGTTAATCACTTTCACACATCACTAGTCAAAAAATCATCAAACCATCACAAGTCAAGGACTATAATTGATGTATTATAAATCAAATCAGTAAGTAGAAGAAATCATGGGAAATTATAAGAATGAAAACATAATACAGACGGCCTTTGAACAATAATACAAGGATTGGGGAGGCTGACCCCCTATACAGCTGAAAATCCTTGTATAACTTTTGACTCCCCAAAAAACGTACCTACTTACTACTCTTGACCACAAGTCTTACCGATAATATAAATAGTTGGTTAACACATATTTTATATGTTCTACCTATTGTATACTGCGTTTTTGGAATAAAGTAAGCTAGAGAAAGTAAATTGTTACTAAAATCATGAGGAAGAGAAAAAATAAAATCATAAGGAAGAGAAAATCCATCTGCAGTACTATACTGTATCTATCGAAAAAATTGGCCTTTAAGTGAACCCACATAGTTCAAACCCATGTTGGTCAAGGGTAAACTGTTTTTCAAAATATCAGATTTCATGGGCGGCAACTAAAGGAGTGTTTAGAGGGAAATTTATAGCTTTAAATGCTCATTGTAGAAAAGAAGAAAGGTTCTGTTGGTAATATAAGCTTCCTCTTTAAGAAATGCAAAGAGCAAATTAAGCAGACAAAAGAAAATAATAATAATGGGAGCAGAAATAAATAGCCAAATGCTAGTTCTTTGAAGAGATAAATTTAAGAAACCTCTAAGCAGTATGATCAGGGAAAAAAATAAATAAAACCACATTACCAGTATCAGGAATGAGGAAGGGGGTATATTACCTAGATTCTATAGACATAAAAAGATGATAAGGGGATATTATGAACAACTCTGTACAGAGTCCTTAGAAGACACTAAACTACCACAGGGTACTCAAGGTGTATAGCCTGAATAGCCCTAATCAATTCAAGTGATTGAATTTTTAGTTAAAAACCTTCCAGTAAAGAAAACTCCAGGCATAAATGGATTTACTGAAGCAAACAACTACGGAAGAAATAAAGCCAAATTTACACAAACTCTTCTAGAAAACGGGAGAAGGGGAATAATTTCCAACTGACTTTATGTGGCAGCATTATCTTGATACCACAACCAGAGATAGTAGAAGAAAGCTACAGACAGCATTTCCAATGAACATAGATGTGAAAGTCCTAATAATATATAAAAAGAATGTATATATTACATATCATGGCCAAGTACATTTTATCCTACAATTTGTAAGTTGGTTTATCAAGTGGAAATCCATTAATGTAACTCATTAAAAAACAAGTGACAGACTCAAGTCCATCAATAGTCCTAGCACTGCTAGGTGAGTGTACTAACATATTTTACCTGTACTAACATATGGCAACTAAAAAACTGGGGCAGTTCGGAAGTACGTTTGCTGAATGACTTCCAGATAATTACCTGATAAATACATAAATGCTTCCTGTAGTCTTATTTTACCAGAATTCCCAGTTTAGTGACCTCTGAGAAAAAGATACAGGAGATAGTACTATGTGATTTCAGAAGAATTTCAGGTTTCTCATTTATTGAGTATTCTTGATTTTCATGTTTTATCCTCTTATTAATATTCAGTGTTCCTGTGTGTTCTGTGCAGATTATTGGAGGAGCTCCTGGTGTCCTTGCAGTGGGGAAGAGAGCAAACTTACTATCCTAGTACACAGCCTTACACCACAGCAGAACTAGCATTAACAAATCACAAGTTGGCAAAAGCAGTAAATGCTCATCTTCTGGGAAATGTTGGCACTAACAGTCAAAAAAAGATACCATCAACGGTTGAATTCTGCAGCACCCCAGCAGAAAAGATGGCTGAAACGGTAAAATATTTCTATTTTGTGGACTGTGGAACTTCTAACACTGTCCTCTTACTGAAAAGTGGTAGTTAAATTGCAAAGTGCTGGGCATTAGGAGTTAGGAATTATGGGATCTAAACCCAATTGGATCTAAACTTGATTCTCATGCTAATGACCTTATGATTTTGAAGAAAATTATTTCTTCCTCTGTGCTTCAGTTCCTGAAACATTTTTACTCCGTCCTTAAGGAGCAAATATAGTTGTTTTGAAAGGGCTTGTCTTTTAGCTACTGAATCACTGAGAATCTTATACTTGAGTTAATAGTGATATGAAAACTAGGGTAGAATTTTTTTTTTTTTTAAGATTTTATTTATTTATTTGACAGAGATCACAAGCAGGCAGAGAGGCAGGCAGAGAGAGAGGAGGAAGCAGGCTCCCTGCGGAACAGAGAGCCAGATGCGGGGCTCGATCGCAGGACCCCGGGATCATGACCCGAGCTGAAGGCAGATGCTTCAACCCACTGAGCCACCCAGGCGCCCCTAGGGTAGAATTTTTAATTCAGCAATCATGAGTAGATAATAGATTACTTCTGACATCAGAAATTATTTGCTAATACCCATATATAGATATGAATGTGCCAAAAACTGCAGCATCAAATAGTGCATCCCTGATACCTACAGTCCTGGGTGAATTCAGGGTTCATGCCTATGAGCTGTCAAATACTATGGTTTCCCAGTTCTGCCAGCAGAGCCAAGGTCACTTCCATACATTTCGGGATCTGACTCCTATCTCCTATCTTAGGCCTTGTCTTTAACCAGAACTGTTCCACTTTTAAAATCCGCTCAGCACCTCTCTCCATGATCTGTACTCTCAACCTTTTTTCCAGCCGATTCTTTATTCTGATTACCCCTGTGATCACATAATTTTCATTCCCTTGATCCCTGCATTTTTTTCTTCATCTCATCTGCTCACTCTCCTGGCTTCTTTTCCTGCCATAGCTTGCCTGGATTTCATTCTTGGGTGTCTTTTTTTCCCTTATCATCCTTCTCTCGGGTACCCTGAGAACTCTAGTCCTTAGTTCAGCTGCCTGCCTTTTTTGTTTCTGCACTTGTCAAGCAGTGACCTCACATTCAGCGGATGACTTTGGTTCCTAGTTCACAGAAAAAGAAGGCAGAGGCAGGAAATTTCTTAAAGGTCCCACTTGATAACTAGAAGCCTACCTTTATGGCAGCCAGTCTTAAATACATTTCTGTCACTGGAAGAGATGTCCCTCTCCAAAGCACAGCTCCCCTCCAGGCTCAGCAGGCCTCTCCAGATCATCCCTTCTGTCTGTCGGCTCTTTCGTCTTTGGCTTATCACACACCCAAGTGTCTTCACCCAGAAAAGAAAAATCTTCCATTATCATAAGTTCTCTGATAAGGTCTTATCACCTTTATAGGCGAGAACCTTGGACAAACTGTGCACACTTGTGTGTACTCCCATGCAAGCCGTTCTGCAAGTCCTGCCGTCACTTACCCAGTAGCTTCTAGCTCCACTGTTCTCGAATTGTGTGCGAATAAAGCTCATGAATGTTTAAATACTTTGTTACCATAATCTCTGTACCAGCACTCCTGCCTTGATATCCCCTTGACTTCTGTGACCTTCTACCTTCTTGGTTCTCTCATATGCCCCCTCAGATTTCTTCTTCATCAACTTTTTTCCTCCTCTATGTGTTGATGTTCCGTAGAAATTTGCTCGCCATGCTTTCCAGACTCGCTGAGTTTCTGCAGCACGGTACACAGCCAGCTCCTCCCCTTTTCTGACCATTCTTTTTCAGAATTTGGCAGGGGGCAAGGCATCCTCCTTTGGGCCCCACTCTTGAGCCTTTCCTCTCATAACAGACTTCCTAGATTCTCTAGGGACTGTCCTAGTCCCATAGTTTTATGCTTGGGGCTTCTTCAACAGAGACATTTTTTTTCTGGGTTTAAGAGACACACCCAGCAAGACATCTCCATAGACACATCTCAGATAGCTGAAAATAGGACAACCTCTTCTCTCCTCGCTTTTGTATCTGTTATTTCCCCTCCCCTGAGAAAGAAGAACAAGAACCCACTTCTCCTCTACTCCCTATCGTGGTAAAATAGACCACTGTATAGATGTTTTGAGGACTTCATAATAACATGTATAAAATAACGTGTGTAAAGCTCATAGCAGATTCCAGTATATTAGTAATTTCTCAGTAAATGGTAGATACCATTCTTATTTTCTTCATCCCCATAATCTTGTTGGTTTTACTAATCCTGTTGGATCCTTCTAATTTAGCCTCTCTTCCAAGTGTGAAACCTGCCCTCCATCCTTAATTACTGCCTAGCCTCCTCACCAGTACTGACCCCTTGCTGTTTAGCTGCCTCCAGACCATCCTCTACTGCCAGTTATTTTTAAAATGCCAGTCCAAAAAAAGAAAGGAAAAATCCCCTTGTGTTGGTACTCCTGTTCAGACAGATCCCGTCCTCCCTCATTCTGGACTCTCCGTTCTTTCACATTGCATAGAAAGCTTTTCAAAAATCGTTATTGCATCCCCTCTTGTCAAGGTGACGAGCCAGGTGTCCCCACGCCCTGCTCTTCAAACCCCAGCAGCATCAACCACTTTTCACTGCACACACGTGCCATTGTATCTCAAGCCTCTGTTCCTACTTCTGCCGACCGCCCTCCCAGCACCTCCCTGCCTTTAAGCAGCAGCCCTGCCCGCATCTCACTGGCAAGCTTAGATGGTCCTTCCCCAGGCTTCCACTCTGTTGTAGCTCTTCACCGTGTCACGGTAATTACTGGATTCTCCCGCTCTCCCCCGACTGTAAGCCCCTTAAGGGTGAGGACTGTATCTTGTGTTTCCTCAAGGTCTGGCACAGTAATTCTTTACAGGTAGTAGGTGCTCTGCTGTGTACATAATGAATCGGGACCCCAGAACTGGGACCCAGAACTACGCCCGTTGTCTCCACACTCTGTTCTTGTTGGGAAACCGTGTCCTTGCCTCCTCAGTGCTGCTGGTAGCCTGCGGTGTAACTGACTGCCCCACCTTCCTCGAACACTCCCTTCTCTCGGCTTGCATAGCTGCACACCCTCCTGGCCCTTCTCTTCTCTGACCCTTCTGTTTTACCGTGTGTGTGCTACTGTGTATCCTCAGGGCTTGGCCTCAAATCCCCTTTTCCTAATCCTTTATCCAGTCTAACTGTCCTCTTAGTTAACGACTGACAGAGCCTGTCAGCCCCATCACTTCAAGGTTGTCCTTTCTTAGCCGGCTTACTGCAATCATCCCCTCCTTTGTCCGTCGTGTGTCCCCCCCCCCCCCCCCCCGACTGCTTTTAATGCCGGCCCTTGCCCCTGTCTTCCAGCACGTACAGCACGATTTCCCAGAAAGGCACCCTGCTTAAACCTTCCCCATCACCTCCAAGCTAAAATCTAGAAACCTCTCTGTCTCCTTCTACTGTATTCCTTTGGTATTTTGTTTCTCTCTCTACAGTCATAGAACCTAATAGCATATAGGGAGTATTTCCATACTTTTATTTTCCCTTCCAAATTTATAAGCAACTTTAAGCCCATCATCTTTGTCTCCTAGCACCCAACCACATTTTACAAAAATAGATCTCAAAAATTCAGTGGAAAAAAACAGCAATACATTTGAAAAGTAGAGGTCCTAAAATAGAACACTGCCAGGACGTTCTTAAATTAACAATAGCTCTTTGGGCATGGTAGTAACTTAGAAGGAAAAAACACTGCTGGACGACATGAGAGTGAGAGAAACAGCCATATCTAGCCATATCTGGAAGCTCCTGACATAGGGCATCGACTTACTTTAAAAAAAGAGAAAGTTCTTTCCACCACTGCTTTTCACAGTTCCTTTCCAACTGCAGTGCCTACCTCAATTGCCCCATAACCCATCCACCTCATGTGAGGATCGCTGGGAGAGTATAAACATGAGATACAGGAGCTTTGAGCAAGCATGTTACCTTTGCCCTTAATTGGAAAGCTTTTCCCAACGCAACCCAGGATTTCAACCCAAATCCTCCTGTTGTGGGTCTCAGTAAAGGAAACAGCCGAACGAGTCATAGCAGAATTAGGAGAGCCTGGTGTCCATGAAATCCAAGAAACAGGAACATGATTGTTAGCATAAAAGATGGCATATACATTAGAAATAGAGAAATGAAAAGCTATTGATTTTACAAGTAAATGATTAAAAACTGCTCATCTTCTGGGAAATGTTGGCACTAACAGTCAAAAAAAGATACCATCAACGGTTGAATTCTGCAGCACCCCAGCTGAAATAGCATTTCATTAGAAGAATGCAGAATCCTGATTCTAGACAGTTGAATGAAAGGTCATAGAGGAGAGATTGTGGGTGCTTTTTGGTTAAGGATTAAAAATTGACATCACTTGGGGACACCTGGGTGGCTCGGTTGGTTAAGCAGCTGCTTTCAGCTCAGGTCATGATCCCAGCATCCTGCGATCAAGTCCCACATCGGGCTCCTTGCTCAGCAGGGAGCCTGCTTCTCCCTCTGCCTCTGCCTGCCACTCTGCCTGTGCTCACTCTGACAAATAAATAAAATCTTAAAAAAAAAAAAATTGACATCACTTAAGGTAGAATGGATATAACCATATTTTTTCTGTGTTTTCATACTTTTTCCACCAGTATCCATAAAGAACATTAATTTCATCATTTTTGGAAAATAGGTAACCTAGGTGATAATTAGACATCATTATTAAATTTAGAGCTTTCTGGAAAAGCTATAAGTTCCCTAACCAATCACATTCATCACTCCGATGTTATTTTTTTGTGGTAGTTACATATAAATGAAATGGGGCTTTAGAGGTAGTTCTACGTCAATATCTGACATTACTTCTTATTTTCCTTAGGTTCTACGCATTTTGGATCCAGTTACCTGTACGGAAAGCTCACCTGATAATCCTTTTTCTGAGTCTTCACCAACTGCCTTACTTGCTACAAAGAAAAATATTGGACGATTTCATCCCTATACTAGATATGAAAATATAACTTTCAATTGCTGCCATCACTGCCAGGGAGAACTTATTGTCCTTTAATACAACAAGACAGCACTCGCTTCTTACCCAAGAGTCATTATTATTTGGGAGCTGGAGTCTTACAGTGATGTCACTTTCTATCTCAGTACTGGATATCCCCAGCGATGTTTCATGTATTGGACCACATATTACCCTTTCTTAATAAATACCTCAGGGTAAGAAAAGAGTGAAACTGTGTAGATATATTTAAAGTAGATGATACTTTCCTGACATCCATGATGCTTTTCCTAAAGGATCCTGAAAGAAGATCCTATCTTTATTTTAGGCCCTAAGTTACATCCTGCCATGTGTTTAAGATGAGCAGATTTCACTGTTAACTCTAATGCAGGGTGGCTCATATGCAGCTACACCCATTCGCTTACTGTTGTCTGTGGTTGCCGGGCTTGGGTTTTTTTGGGCACCACAGCAGAACTGAACAGAGGCAACAGGGCTTGTGTGGCTGCAAAACCTAAAATCTCCTATCTGGCCCTTGACAGGAGAATTTTTCTGGCCCCCACTGGCAGGGGGATGGGTGGAGAGCGTGTCCATTCCCTTTTTGGGGATTTATTTTGGACTACAAAGGCTGCTTATGGAAATACTATGGGTGAAGGGACTAATATTTTAAAATTAAATGCTATATGTTAGGAAAATTAGAATTATTTTATAGCCACATTAGCAAGTGTTTGAGTAAAACATATTCTCGTGTTGGTTTTGTGTGGGGAATTCCATAGTTTGGATGTGACTTGACATATATAATAATAGATTTTACTGAGCTCATTTTGACAAATGCAACACAATAGGACTATCCAATTTGATATATAATGTAGAAAGAGGATCTTTCTAGAACATTGTACAAACTCAAGATGCAATCCATCATTAATTTATATTAATATATGTTATTATTTATGATGGACCATCATAAAACACCCTTTTATAAGCCTGTAAAAATATCCACAATATGTTTATACCAAATTACCCTATATTAGGTACAGAATCGACTATCAAAAGAGAAGTCTTCTAAAGACAAATCTGGTGAAATAACATTTTAATGTCAATGATTTTTTTGTCTGATTCATCTGAGTTATACTTTGAAATGGCAATAAATTTCTCTACATTCTTTATTTTGAATATTGATTTAATGTGCTTTTCAAGTCTTTGTCTAACTTACACTATTTATAATTGATTCGTCAGCCTTCCTTTAGGTTTACTTAGTATAAACCTTAGAAGAAAATATAGAGGAAAATCTTCATGACCTTGGACTTGGCACTGATTTCTTGGATATGGCACTGGAAGCACAGCCAACAAAATAAAACATAGATAAACTGATTTTCATCCAAATTAAAAACATTTGTACATCAAAGGAAACTATCCATAGAATGAAAAGGCAACCTACAAAATGGGAGAGAATATTTGCAAATTATATGGTTTATAAGGGTCGCGTATCTAGAATAAAGGATCTGTAACTCGGCAACCAAAAAACGTGAAAAGAATATGGAAAGAAATTTCTCTAAGATACCCAAAATGCCAATAAGCATATGAAAATACTCTCCACATCACTAATCCTTAAGGAAATGCAAACTGCTATCACTTCATGCTCATTACAATGGCTGTGATCAAGGAAGGAAAATGAGTGTTCATAAGGATATAGAATTGGAACCCTTGTGCATTCCTGGTGGGAATGTAAAATGGTTCAACCACTGTCAGAGACAGTGTTGGAGCTCCTCAAAAAATTAAACATACAGGGCACCCCAGTAGCTCAGTCGTTGAGCGTCTGCCTTCAGCTCAGGTCATGATCCCAGCATCCTGGATCGAGTCCCACATGGGGCTCCCTGCTGGGTGGGGAGCCTGCTTCTCCCTCTCCAGCTCCCCTGTGCTTGTGTTCTCTCTCACATCTGTCATAAATAAGTAAAATCTAAAAAAAATTAAACATACGATTACCATATGATTCAGCAATTCCACTTCTACGTAGATACCCAATAGAATTGAAAGCAAGGACCCAAAAATATTTTTATACCAGTGTTCACAGCAACATAGGAGTCAAAAGGTGGAAGTAACAAGGCATCCTTTGATGGATGAATGGATAAACAAAATGCATCCACATGCAATGGAGTATCAGCCTTAAAAAGGGCTGAAAGTCTGATTATGCTACAGCATAAATGAACCTTCAATACATTACACTAAATGAAATAAGTTGCAAACAAAAGGGCAAAGAAGTAGGTACATGAAATAACCATAGTGACAAAGAATAGTGGTTATAGGGGTCAAGGGAAGGCTGAATGGAAAGTTTGGGGTTTTGGGTTTTTTGTTTTGTTTTGTTTTGTTTTTTTTAAGATTATTTGTCAGCACAAGCAGTGGGGAGCAGTAGGCAGAGGGAGAGGCAGGGTCTCTACTGAGCAAGGAGCTTGATGTGGGACTCAATTCCAGGACCCTGGGATCATGACCTGAGCTGAAGGCAGATGCTTAACTGACTGAGCCACCCAGGTGTCCCCAGAATAGAGAGTTCTTAATGGATACAGACTTCCCATTGGGATGAGGATAATTCTGCAATTGGAAAGGGGTGATGGTGGTACAGTATGAATGTACTTAATGCCACTTAATTATACACTTAAATATTGGTCAAGATGGGAAAAAAAGGTCAAAATGTTCAGTTTTATATATATATATATGTTATATAATCACACACAAAAAATTTTGCATACACTCTTAACCACAAACTAATGGCACACTTCTGCAATGGTTGGTTTAAGAGTGTCAATAATAGTAATAATAAATAGTTAGCTAAACAAAACTAAAAAGATCTCAAATCAACAACCTGACATTATACCATAGGGACCTAGAATAAAAGAGCATACTAAGCCCAAAGCTAGCAGAAGGAAGGAAATCAAAATCAGAGCAGAGAGAAAATAAAGAACAGAACAGTATCAAAGAAATCAAAAGTTGGTTCTTTGGAAAGATCCACAAAATTGACAATCCTACAGCCAGACTGACTAAAAAAAAAAAAGATGTGAATAACAAAAATCAGAAATGAAAGGAAATTATTACCAACCTTAAAAGGGAAAAAAAGGAATAATTGTACTTAATAATTTTAACAAATATACTAGATGAAATGGACAAAAATCCCTAGAAATACACAAATTAGCAAAACTGACTCAAGAAGAAACAGAAAATGTGAACAGGCCTATAACAAAGAGATTAAATCAGTAATAAAAAAAAAACTTTGCAATACCATATATTCTTAAGAATATAGACAAAAAAATTCCTAACAAATTACTAGCAAACAGCAATAGTATAGAAAAAGGGTTATACGGGACGCCTGGGTGGCTCAGTTGGTTAAGCGGCTGCCTTCGGCTCAGGTCATGATCCCAGCGTCCTGGGATCGAGTCCCACATCGGGCTCCTTGCTCATCAGGGAGCCTGCTTCTCCCTCTGCCTCTGCCTGCCATTCTGTCTGCCTGTGCTTGCTCTCTCTCCCTCTCTCTCTCTCTGACAAATAAATAAATAAAATCTTAAAAAAAAAAAAAAAAGAAAAGAAAAAGGGTTATACTTCATGACCACGTGGTATTTCTAACAGGAATGCAAGGGTAGTTCAACATAAGAAAATCAATGGAATACACGCACACACACAGAACAAAAAAGGAAAACAATGTGATCATTTCACCTGATACAGGAAGAGCATTTGATAAAATCCAACACCCATTTATGATAAAAACACTCAGAAAGGGGTGCCTGACCAGCTCAGTCATTAAGCATCTGTCTTCAGCTCAGGTCATGACCCCAGGGTCCTGGGATCAAGTCCCGCATCCAGCTCCCTGCTCGGCAGGGAGCCTGCTTCTCCTTGTCCTGCTTCCCCACCAGTGTTCCCTCTCGCTGTCTCTCTGTCAAATAAATAAATAAAACCTTTAAAAAAAAAAACACTCAGAAAAATAAGGGATCAAAGAATATGAAAAAGTAGAATAGAGGAATAAGAATAGAATTTCCTCAACTTCTTAAAGGGCGTTTATGAAAAACCCCACAGCTAACATCATCCTCAACAGTGAAAGACTAAAAAAGCTTTTCTCCCAAGATCAAGAACAAAATAAGAAGGCCCACTTTCACCACTACTATTCTACATTATACTGGAAATCTTAGCCAAAGTAATCAGTCAAGAAAGAAAAGGAATTGGGAAAGGAAGAAATAAAACCATCTCAATTTGCAGGTAATATTATCTTATATATAGAAAATTCCAAGGAATCTACAAAAACAAAACAAAACAAACAAAAAAAAACCTACTGCTGATAAAGCCAGCAAAGTTGCACAGTATATCAATGCACAAAATTCCTTTGTGTTTGATTCTGAATTTACAACCCAAAAGCAAATTAAGAAGATAATTCCATTTGCACTAGAATCCAAAAGAAGAAAATATCTGTGAATCAGTTTAACCAAAGAGGTGAAAGACCTGTCCAGTGAAACTGCAAAATTTTGTTGCACTAAATGAAAAGAAATCCTGTGTTATGGATTGGAAGACAATTGATTAAAACCGCAGTGCTACCCAAAACAATCTATAGATTCACTGCAATCTCTATCAAAATTCCAACAGCTTTTTTGGAAAAATTGTGGAATATTTAAATGTCAAATTGGTTCTCATTATTAAAGATAACCTTAAACAACACAAGACTAGTTAAATAATGAAAAGTTAAATGGTCTGGTGTGTGCTTAAAGTGCTATAAGAAGTCGAGACTGGATTGAGTAGCTCTGTTTTCTTCTTCAGGGTCAAGTGGTTAAAGGTACAAACAGCCAGCTGGCAAGAACCTTGTCCTTAAGGCTTTAACAGAACTCCTACATGATTCTCTAGTCTCTGTCATACTTGTCATGTTCGCCTTTGTTTTCCACCCTTTCAATGCTCATACGTATCAAGAATACCGTTCCTCTACACATCAGCCTCCCATATAAAGACTTCACAATATCTACCAAGGTTTATAAAGTTTATACTATGCCTAAAAGAAAGAATTTTGCAATTATACAGATCAGAGTCTTCGAGTAAACTGCTCCCTCTGTACTTTAGTTTCTTCATCTGCAACATAAGACCAATAGGGTTGTTATGAGGATTATGTCAGATTATTTATGTAAAGCACTTATAACATTACCATGCACATTATAAACTCTAATAAGAGCTAGTTAGTTTTGTAATAGAGCAAAACTGGATGCATAATTATTACTATTTTTTTAAAGAACACGAGAAAGTAAGGCTACCCTATTTCTTAGTTTGCCACAGTTACTCAAATTCAAAGTTGTCATAAATGGGATTTTGTATAAAGCCTTGAACCAGGCTTGTTTAAGAGGTCATGCCTCAGCTCCATGAAATGTTCTACTGCGATCTCTTTTTTAATAACAGAAACTAAGAACAGAAATCTGTTCTTTTTTTAAACAATAATAGAAACTAAGACTAGAAATCTGTTCCTTTCTTGGGTTCTTTCAAGCTAGAAATGCTAAAATAATTTAGAAGTAAAGGAATCTAGAGCTCATTTATTGTTCAATTTGTTGCATGGACTACAAGATGGTATAATATAATACAACACTGCGAGAGAAAAAATTTATTTTGTTTAGTGTTAAAAAAAAAAAAAAGAAATTCACTGTCAGTATCGCCAAAAGATAAAAAGGATTTCCATAATTTAGAGTATGACCAAAGCATAGGCCATAAGAAATGATATATAAAATTTTGAGAATAGCAGCTTCCAAATGAAGTGTTTAATAGATACTCTCAGTTATAATGATCAGTAAAACGAAATGCTTTGGCTTCTGACATATACAGGTGGCTCTGTAGTTGTTTAGAATGCTTTGCTTCCAGTCGGAGCTGTCTAGTTCTTTCTCTGACAGCTTGTTGCTCTGCTACTTTTTCAATCCGTTTCCTTCGCAGCCATCTGTAGAAAGAGATATGATCAGATCTGGTGAGTATGAACGTGAATACTCTTTACATAAAGCTACTGCCATAGACTATTAAAGGAAGTTGAATTTCTTTACATTGAAATGCTGCAGTCACAAAAAAATTATTAAAGTACTAATGAAAATTTCAGGTTTATCCCGTGGGCTCACATAAGAAAACATACTCACATTTGCAATCAAATACTTAAAACTA